TCAAAACTTGTCCGGTCAACTATCTCTCCACGACTTCCCCAACCTAGAAAAAATTGACCTCAGCAACAACAAAGACCTCACCAGCCTAGAACTCATAAATCTCCCCAATCTCAAACACCTCCAAGCCAACAATTGCCAACTCACTAACCTCCTTATCACCAATTGCCCCAATCTCGCCTATCTCAACGTCGGCAACAACCTCTTAACTAAAACTGACTTCCTAACTAATCTCAACCCCGAAAAATTAACTCATTTAAGCATCCACTCTAACAATTTTTCCAAACAAAAATTAGACTTCCTCAACCAGTCTGCCAATCTGGAAGAACTCTATCTTGACAATTCTAACGAAGAAAACTTTGACCAAAGAATATATAACCACTTCTATGGTTCTCTCCAACCCCTCCAAAATCTAACCAAGTTAAAATGGCTAAGCATCGCTAAAACAGATATAGACAGCGGGCTAGAATATTTACCGGGCAGCATTAAAAAAATAGGTCTTAAAAAAGATTGAGGCTCAGACAATGATGGCAGTTGCATTAAACTCGCTCGTGAGTTAGAAAAAGCCTCCCAAATCCCAGGAGTAACAGAAAAATTAATTCAGGATGAAGAGAATGAACCAATCTCCGTCCGGGGAAAGGCTACTTGATACCGCCTTGCTCCCTGACGCCAAGCCTGGAATTTATTAGGAGAAGAAGAATTTAAAAAACAAGTCTCGCAACAAAATGCCCAATTCTGACTAGATAAAAATTATCCTAAACAAGCAGATAACGATAGAGAAAAAAGAGAAAATATCACTTTTTTAAATCTCAACAATAAAAATTTATCCGGGCATTTAGATCTGCGAGATTTTACCAGCCTACAAAGCCTAAGTTGTATAGGTAATAAACTTACTAATTTGGATTTAAGCAAATGCAGCAATCTAGTTAAACTTAATTGCTCAGGCAATAAATTCACCAATCCAGAGTTTTTACAGGAAATTCCTAATCCAAGCAAGTTAGGGATATTAAGGATAAATAAAAATGAAGAATTAAAAGAAAATTTAAACTTCCTAACTCCTTTTACAGGCTTAAAAGAGTTAAATCTGGAGGATTGTCCCTTAGTCGGTAGTCTAGAACCTCTAAAAAAGATGAAAAATCTAAAGAAAATTTTCCTTAGTTGCACTCATATTAGTAAAGGCTTAGAATTTTTGCCCGCTAGTTGTCAAGAACTTTATTGCGATTATGATTACCAATATAAATCAATTAAACTTGCCGATGAATTAAGTAACTTTGCCGAGGACAAACATTACAATATTACTAAATGACGAGAAGATAAACAAAATAACACTATCGCTTCCGTTATCCCTTTAGAAAGATTATTTGTGATTAGGAGTAATATTAAGAAATTTGTTAATAAGTGAGGCAAAGAAGAAAAAGGAGCCAGCCGATTAAGTCAGATTCAGGATCCCCAGCAATCTCAAAACCAGGAATGGTTAACTGAAGGGGCCCAATGGGTAGCACGTGGGGTAGCAGTTGCGGGTGGTGTGTTGGCAGCAACTGTTAATCCCGTAGCGGGTGGAGTAATGGCAGCGGCTTCCCCGGTTCTAGAAGTAGTGGCTTCGCAAATGAAAGAAAAAGTTTATGAAAAAAACAAAAGAGAGTGATATGAATTTACGGAAGATACCGAAGAATTTTTAGATAATTATCATGAATTATTAGGGATAGTTAAATCAATTAAGATCGGAGAGTTAGGAGTGGTTAATAGCAAACTAAAAGAGTTAAAAAAGAAAGTCCTAGACTTTTTACAAGACTATGATGAAAATAATAATCAAGAAATCGAGTTGGAAGAATTAATTAATGCTCGGGTTAAATTTAATAATGAGTTAACTAAATTAGGAGAGATAGTAAAGTCAA